GATTTTGAATTTGTATAAATAATGCTGGTCTTTCATCATACAAAGGATTTTGAATTTGTATAAATAATGCTGGTCTTTCTTCATACAAGGGATTTTGAATTTGTATAAATAATGCTGGTCTTTCATCATACAAGGGATTTTGAATTTGTATAAATAATGCTGGTCTTTCATCATACAAGGGATTTTGAATTTGTATAAATAATGCTGGTCTTCCATCATTCAAGGGATTTTGAATTTGTATAAATAATGCTGGTCTTTCATCATACAAGGCATTTTGAATTTGTATATTTAATGCTGGTCTTTCTTTCATCATACAAGTGATTTTGAATTTGTATGAATTATGCTGGCCTTCCATCATACAAGGCATTTTTGACTGTGTATACATAATGCTGGTCTTTCATCATACAATGCATTTTGAATTTGTATAAATAATGCTGGTTTTCCATCATACAAGGCAGTTTGAATTTGTATAAATAATGCTGGTTTTCCATCATACAAGGCAGTTTGAATTTGTATAAATAATGCTGGTTTTCCATCATGCAAGGCAGTTTGAATTTGTATAAATAATGCTGGTTTTCCATCATACAAAGCATTTTGAATTGGTATAAATAATGCTGGTTTTCCATCATTCAAAACAGTTTGAATTTGTATAAATAATGCTGGTTTTCCATCATACAAGGCAGTTTGAATTTGTATAAATAATGCTGGTCTTCCATCATACAAGGCATTTTGAATTTGTATATATAATGCTGGTCTTCTAATATGAGGCAATGTTAGTTTATATAAATGATACTGGTCTTCCAATTATACAAGGCATTTGAATTTATATAAATAATACTAGTCTTCCAATTATACAAGGTATTTTGAATTTTTATAAATAATACTGGTCTTCCATCATACAAGGCATTTTGAATTTGTATAAATAATGCTGGTCTTCCAATTATACAAGGGATTGTGAATTTGTATAAATAATGCTGGTCTTCCATTATACAAGGCATTTTGAATTTGTATAGATAATGCTGGTCTTTCATCATACAAGGCATTTTGAATTTGTATAAATAATACTAGTCTTCCAATTATACAAGGTATTTTGAATTTGTATAAATAATACTGGTCTTCCATCATACAAGGCATTTTGAATTTGTATAAATAATGCTGGTCTTCCAATTATACAAGGGATTGTGAATTTGTATAAATAATGCTGGTCTTCCATTATACAAGGCATTTTGAATTTGTATAGATAATGCTGGTCTTTCATCATACAAGGCATTTTGAATTTGTATAAATAATACTAGTCTTCCAATTATACAAGGTATTTTGAATTTGTATAAATAATACTGGTCTTCCATCATACAAGGCATTTTGAATTTGTATAAATAATGCTGGTCTTCCAATTATACAAGGGATTGTGAATTTGTATAAATAATACTGGTCTTCCATCATACAAGGCGTTTTGAATTTGTATAAATAATGCTGGTCTTCCAATTATACAAGGGATTGTGAATTTGTATAAATAATACTGGTCTTCCATCATGCAAGGCATTTTGAATTTGTATAAATAATGCTGGTCTTCCAAATATACAAGGGATTGTGAATTTGTATAAATAATGCTGGTCTTCCATTATACAATGCATTTTGAATTTGTATAGATAATGCTGGTCTTTTATCATACAAGGCATTTTGAATTTGTATAAATAATGCTGGTCTTCCATCATACATGGTATTTTTGACTGTGTATAAATAATGCTGATATTTTATCATATAAAGTGGCTACTGAGTAATACTAAAACTGTTCAACAACCTCTTCTAAAAACCTGTTCAACCAGTTTGAACAAACTCTGATTGTGAGAATCCTGACATTAAAGTATTTTACATATGAACTAATTATTCTGATTTGTCGTCAAAGATCCCCAAAGTTACTACAGACATAAATGCTTCAAATGATTACTAACTACCTGTTGGAGTATTTATAAATCTTTTTGACGGCCAGCTTACTGTGTACGCAAATCTGTAAAGAGGCGCATCTCATAATGAATTTGGATATAGCTTAACTGCACCCTCTAGCTTTCCACTCCTGTGGTTTTTAATTCATACCCTGATTAGACCTTATTTCAGGTCAGTATACGTATAATAATGGTACTACCACTAGGTACAACACTTTCTTTGGCATGTATATTAAGTCACTTGCGACATGTGTATTACCAAAAATTATGAATGTTCTACTTTTACAAAGCCAGAAAATTATAATCTGTATAAAAGTAAAATCTATAATAAGATAATGCCGACATTTTATGAATATGTCGGATAATAGAGTCGATTTTGAGCGAAAAATGCATCACACAATTATATCTAACTGGTTGACGTCGCTGAAACCATTTCTCATTAGCGGTGTCAGCGGAAACCGTAATCATCTTATGCTGATATTTATTTGAGCTTAGCTTTTCTAAACTGAGATTTACAAGAGTCTAAGTAAGAGTAAATAAACGGTAAATCTACCTGTACCATTCTTCACCTGTGTCATTATCACTCATATTTTTGTATCCTTGTAATAGGTAAGAGTCTCCAAGATTCTACTAAAGGAAAGATGTCGCCATCGAACTCAGCTACTCAAGAAAGGCGTCCTGGCAGGAATGATGTGAAGCTACCATTATTGGGCAAGAGGAAATGTGATGATTGTGCTATTAGCCAGGCAGAATACCTGGAAGAATCCACTAAACCGATCAAGATGCACACGGAGAAGTTGCTACCGTATCAGAATAATCTCGAGAAAAGCCCTGGCAAATACGTTGTGAAACTACCACGCTTGGTGCAGAAGAAAAACAATGATAGGGCGACCTGCCTGGCAGAACGTTCAGATTACTCCATCAAATCGACCAAGTCCCAAGATGCAAATAAAAGCGAGATGCTCCAGATGAACGAAAAAGCTAATATTGAGTCTGATAAGCAAAAGTCAAATGATGATTTGGATGAAGCTCTTTATTTGGGAAGCGAAGTGTTTCCACCAGAGGCTTATGAGGTAGAAACCGCTATGATGAAACTTAAAATAAGAAAGCAAGAACTGCAGAAAGAAAGAGAACTTAAAAAGCTCCTAATGAAACAGTCAACGGAAATAAAACCCTGTCTTCCCAAGCTGAAACCCTTGGACATAACAAATATTAACCTACAACTCGTCCACTGCCCAATTCTGAACTGTGAAACGGTCCCCACGTTAGAGGAGATGATTAAGATCATGAAGGAAGATGAGCGTGTTGATCCAAGGTACAAGAATAATAAGAGTAAATATAAAAAAAGAAAAATTATCAGAAAATACAACCTCTCTCGAGACACAATAATGCACGTGTTGAAAGGTATTCATAGACGTCATGCAGTAACCCTTCACTCAGATCCTTTCGGTACCATAGAAGATTTTGTGAAAAAGTTTAGTGGTATGCTTCGAAATAAAAACAATGGCGATAAAGATGCCAACGATGAAGCAGATAATAAACACACGTCTTCAATGAAAAAATGGCTTGCAGGTGCAGAAGTCGGCAAAAAAGCTGAAGCAAAATCGAAATGCGAATTGGCATCTGTTGTAGGAGCAATAAGAGATTCGAATGTCTGCAAACAACATGAACGACTGCATACAATGACTGATCAAAGTAAATCTCTTCTAGATGTCCAACCAAAGACACTCATCGCTCCATTAGAACATTGTTTGACATTAGAAGTTACAAAACAAATATCCATTGCTCCAGAAGAAACCAGTTCAATAGAAAATGTTTCAAAAACTGTACCCTTAGCTCCCGTAAAAAATGCAACTTTAACTCCATTAAAATGCGATTCAGATCTAGATAGTATAAAAGAGATGTACAACTTTTCAACAGAATGTATTCCAAACCCAGACATTCTGGTCACAACTTCTTCAGGAGAGATAGTTATGACGATGAAAACATTTAGGCCATTATCTGCAAGTAGCAGACGCGGCATCAAATCTGTGAGGTCAAAAGAAAGCGTTGATTTTAATACTTTAAGAAATGCGTCTGAAACTATGAATGGAGAAAGACAGTTCCCCAAGATTTGTATGCATGATGACAATTCAGAAGAGCCCTCGATCCTAAAATACAAATCCATTGACGAGTCTGACAGTGAGCAGAAACAATTGTTAATCGAGGTTCCAAATTTGAACACGTTTGCTACAGACAATCCTAATGCCCTGGTGGACAGTGTACAAAAAGTGCGGAAAAAGAAACTTATACAAAATGGAATGCCTAATTTTATAGACGTAGTAAAAAAGTACTCCAGCATGCAGGAAATCTTTACAAACATTCCCAAGGTTCAACATAGAATGGAGGATACAATGACAAAAGAGAAGGCTAAAGATATAAAGGTACCAGGCACCCAGCGGAACGAAACAAACAGACTAAATATTCCAAATGTGTCTGGTTCTCTTAGGGCCTTTAACTTCTTATCAAATTCTCCCATTCAAAATCAAACCTCCAGGTCCACGCCATCAAAGCTTCATTTTCCAGCCTCCTACACCACTGAGAAATTTATGCTCAAGTTCTCTCAAGCTCTCGAGGACTTCGTGGTCCGTCGTGAAATTGTAATATCCAACCGCAACTGGAAGTGCAGCAACTCAGTAACCTTCACTCAGAAGACTGTTTTCACCTTGCGTAGGATATAAGAGGAGGAATATAATTGGTTCACATAAAATACAGCTCAATCGAATTTAGAGACGAAAATAAAGAAACAATATATATATATATATATATATATATATATATATATATATATATATATATATATATATATATATATATATATTAGTTATGTGCAACTGTCTACTGATGAAACAAAATTTAATAGATTAAAAGATATATTACTGTATTGTTTCATATCGCTAAATTTCAGTCCTTAACATTCGTACTAAAACTACATCCTTAATATGTTGATTTAATTGAATTAATCAATTGTACAAATTCATAAACTTTCATGAGCATAAAGTCCTCTCCATGGCCTAATATTAGTTTATTGGTTAGAGTGTCAGCCTCAGATGCGGGAGGTCGTGGGTTCAATCTCCAGCAGTGTCATACGAAATATATAAAACTGGAACTAAAAAAACCCTTGCTTGGCCCTCAGCATTAAGAGGTTAATGTTAGGACTGGTCGTCTTAGTGTCAGGAAAATGCCACTTGTCTACGGCATGATATCCCAGTGCTAGACATCACTATAAACTTCCACACTGCAGACATCTTAGCGATATGACTGAAAATTTATAAAAGCTACATTAAAAGTCCAAATCACACACACACACACCGATATATTAGCGTACAGAGCCTTTTCAAGCTAAAACTGCAGAAAAATATGAAGAAAACAAGCAAACAAAATTCGGACTCGGCACATTATCCTATCATTTGCAAAATTAGGCTTTAAACACATGGCTTTACAGAGTTTAAAAGATAATATCTGGCAAATAGGTAGTGATAACGATACTTTAAACATTGAAAAAAAAAAGCCACGACCTTTGACACAAGATATTACGCAGACTTACTTTCAATTAGTAATATAAATAGATGATTGATGGGAACGGGAGGATTTTTTTTGCTTTTACTACAAATTGTACATCTCTCTATTCAGCATATAATTTATCTGTATAACGTTTCTAATTCATCTGATTGTCAACTGACAAACGTATTTTTTAAATGGTTTAGTTTCTTTTAATTAATGTCTTTTTAAAGGCTAATATGCGTCCGTCACAAACACACAAACACATTCACACAATATCTTTTTAAAGGCAAATATGCGTCCATAAACACAGAGAAATACATACATACATACATACATACATACATACATACATACATACATACATACATACATACATACATACATACATACATATGTATATATATATATATATATATATATATATATATATATATATATATATATATATATATATATATATATATATATATATATATATATATATATATATATATATTTGAAAAATATAAAAATTACCTCAACGTCTTTATTTGTTTTTCAAGTCCTATGATCTAGTCTAAAACACACAAACAAGGTCGTTAATAAAATTGCGTGAAACTTTACAGAAAACTACTACACTAATTATGTTGCAAATGAGATTGTGTTAAGTACAAAATAATCCCATTTAGAAAGACGCAGATGGTTTATCCTTGTAACAGCCAACCCGCCACCGCTCTGCATGCTACAAACGTTTAACTTCTACCTCCTATCGCAAGAAACCCAGTAACCAATCCACGAAAAGAATATGATACTTTATAGGAAAAAGACTTTAGTTTTATAAATATAAATAGGACAATTATACAACGATCACCATGATATTTATAAATTAAGGCGAGGAATCCAACCGAAATATGCAGTGTCAGAGAAAGGTGGTACAAACCTTATCTGAAATATAGCTTAAGCTTGGGAACGAAAGATGGCAACGGGAATCTAAACAAGAACGTCCCAACTAAAAATCAACAACGCAAACTATACCAAAATAAAATTATCTCGATCAAAATTCGTTGTAATTTGTTTTAAATATACACACTTATAGAGCTGTAAGTCATTCCGACGTAAATACCATTTAACTTTTAATCCAAAGGGAATGATATCAAAGGCCTAAATGTTGACCATAAAGCTATGAGTTTAACATGTTTGCGCATGGATGAAAACCGATAATTGAATCGAACACGAGACTGTGTGTCTACAGTGGATACATGTATCCAGTGTATCAGTGCTACTTGAACTTGGATCTCAGATTTTTAAAAAACATATCAGTACCATCATTATCAAAATGTTCTGATTAAAATAAACAGAAGTAAGGGCAACATCTTTCTACAACGCCAAAAATAATAAAAGACTTTTGTTAAAAAGGAAGAAATGAAAAGCGACATTTCGTTGCGTGGCATTCTGTCTCAATAAAAAATGAGGAATGATTGATTGTCCATTATACAACCCATGGGAAAGACAATTTTAAAACTTCCATGACATTGTATCAACCACTACAATAACAGCAGCAGTGAGGCATGGACGTGGAAATGATTTAAGGCAGCTGAAATTGCTGTTGAAAGCTCCATAATTAATTGATTATAACCAACTGGGGGGTCTCAAATAAAGAGATAATAATATTGTCGTAATAATAAAGAAGCAATAGCTCTCTCTCTCTCTCTCTCTCTCTCTCTCTCTCTCTCTCTCTCTCTCTCTCTCTCTCTCTCTCTCTCTCTCTCTCTCTCTCTTTCTCTCTCTCTCTACAGCAAAATATGTGTATATATTTTGCTTATGTAAAATTAAAAACAAATAAGAAATTAAAACATTAACACACTTACGCTTGATATATTCTTGTGAATAAGAATTCCTCTACACTTCATACATTGTTTTTTTTTTATTTTCTTCCAAAACTTCCTCTTTCTCCCTTTCGTGAACCTTGACATCAACCTGAATTTATTAGAGGTAGTGTGGTCTTCTGCGTTTCCTACTTCTGAGAACTACCCCTCTGTCTCTTCCATCACTTACTTTGTACGTCTGAACATTCCGAAGATGAAGATAAATTTTTTTGCAGTAAAACGTACATCATTACCTTTGTCTTTCAACCTGATTTATACTTTTAAGGGTTTCATTTCTGTGAGATTGTTGATATTATGTAATCCAGTGTATTTTCTCTCGACAGACATTATAGGCATCTTCACTTTTCTTTCAAGAGGAGTCTAGATGCTCCCAATAGATTTTCTTGGATTATACACGTCTTCGAATCACTTGTAAGTTTCTGACCAAAGTTTTAATCTGAGGTTCCTCTTTCATTTTCACAGGTTTAACGTGGAACTTGATGGTAGGTCTTTTTACGTAAAAGGGGAGAGAAAAATTCTTCTAGTAACATCTAACTTGTCTGCCGTCTGGAAACGATGATATCAAACCAAGAAACCAGAACAAAGCGTAAATGACGACGATCACGTTCTGTATCACCCAATGTGAGAAAGCTTGCCAGTAGGTTCTCGTGGGTCGGTGGTTCTTTCCGGTGATTTCTCGGTTTCTTCCTCCACCATTAATACTGGCCGCCATGTATAGCCTATCGAGTTCTAAAATATGGCGTTAACCCCACCACAACAACAATCACTCAATAGTTCCAGAGACGTTTTAGTAGAATTTCATCGAAGTGACTTTGAACAGAAACTGATTGATATGTATCCAAAATATTTGCCCTTCTCCTGTCCGATAGGGTCTAGATCATTCAAGAAAGAATGTCACTCGCGGCCCCTTAAAATTATTTTCACATTCAAACTACTCACAGTCACTTCTAGAAACAGTCATAATTAAAGAATCGAAGTCCGAATAATTCCATGCAAAGAAAGCTGCTGAATTGATTACTGGATCATCAGAGTCTATGATGGATGAGTTGAAACGGAAGTGTCAAGATCAAGATCGGTTGCGACTTTCTATCAAACTTACAACAGTTGATATTGTCTGCATGGATAGAATTTAGCATATATGCTCAATCAATATCTTCCTAAATCTCAGACACAATTCAGCACTTTAAAGAAATCGTACGATGAATTTGACACAACCGATTGAAATATCGCACTCCTTATGGAACTTTTTTAAATTACCGGTTCAGGCAATAGTAGACGCTAAAAGTCCGATCTGTGAATCAACTCCCAACAACAAAACGAGATTCTCCTTTATTTCTGATAGAATCGCGTGTCTGTGCCTTCGAGGTGTCAAGAACGTCAAAGGAAAGTGACGGAAGAACAGAGGCGTAGCGAGGACATATGGTGCCTACGGCAAGAGCTAAACTTTAGCACCCTATTGAAGCTTTTGAAATATATAAAAAAAAATTGTTCTGCTCACCGATTTTGAGGCCCCCAACCCGCCCCTTTCAAGTGGCGCCCACGGTACGTGTTGTGTCTTGCCACACATTCGCTACGCCTCTGCGGAAGAGTGAAAAGGAGAAAGAACTTCTGAAGAAGACGCAGAAGAACTTCCATTTACAAAATTAAAAGCAAGAAAAAATATTTGAATTTCATTGATTCTCATATTAAAAAATATACCAAACGTAGGCGAAAATAAAAATTATTTTATTATTATTATTATTATTATTATTATTATTATTATTATTATTATTATTATTATTATTATTATTATTATTATTATTATTATTATTACAGGCAATCATACAAACCATTTTTAGGAAGTGTTATTACAGGATGCTAGTTTCTTGAACAAGTTTTTAATTCCAGAGGTTTTTGTTAACATTTTTAAAATGTTTGTCTTTTGTTTTAAATTGTTTGTAATGTTCATAATTTTTTTATTGATTATATTCGTTCAACTTTTAAATATCTTTACAAATTTTAATTGTGCAAGCAGTTTACTCTTGTTTCTAAAGATTTTAAATTTGTTCTAAAATGTTTGAATTACATACATTTTTAATTAGCTGCAATGATTTATAGTTTTAAACTTTTGGGTCAAATTTTTCTTTTTTCTGTTTTGTTATCAAATATTAAGATTTGTTTTTATTTTTGTTTTATTTGTTCAATATTTTGCAAATTAATTCTGATTAACTTTTTCAAATGTATTCATAGTAATTTTCTTTAAAACAATTGTTTTATACAGTTAAAATATTCCTTTTTTATCATGTCGACAATTTTTATATATTTTTTAATGCTGAAGCTCTCTTGGAGCAGAGCACGGATCCTTTATACACCTCACCTCTGCTTACTGACGGACCAATTCAAAAGTTGTATAAACCGCACATTCCACTTTTAATAACATTTAATCGTCTTTTTTTGAACCATCACTCAACCAGTCCAATGCCAACATACACTTATGAATATTTAAAAGAAACCAAAACCAAATATATCCCACATAATCGTATTTCATCAAAATAGGCCAGTATTCTATGCAAATAGCAAGTAAAACACCTCTCCCCAAAAAACAAAAAAAAAATCTACAAAAAGCTATGTGCATCTACGCTTACCAGAAAACAATATAGAAATATTGCAATGTATGATCCCATAACTATTTCTTCTTAATTCCTTGGGATTATTGTATTGTTCAGAAAGATATTAATCA